ACGACTTTCCTATTTCTTGCCAACCAAATATTCCTGGCCACCCCTATTATTTTTTTGTGTTGCAAGTTCAGACTTCAGAGCCCGGTTGGTGTGTGTGATTTTGCTCTAGAGTCAATAAAGTTGTAGCTATGTTTGCCCCTTGATTTAGTGTCAGGCCTATTGCCGTCCATACCTGCCTTGCATGAGGGCATGTGAAAAGCATATGTTCAACATTTTCTTCTTCATTGTAGACATAAGGACATGATGCATTATCTATGATGTTTCTTCTTGCCAAAATATTTCTTGTCTTCAGTCTTCCCTTTATTGCTAACCAAGCAAAGATCTTGCATTTTTTTAGGTGCTAGCGAAGTCCATAAATCTTTTGCTATTGGCCAAAGAGTCCCTCCAAAGGAGAGTATGAAATAAGTTGTTCTAATTGTAAAATTCATTGTTGGCCCAAATCTCATTTCCGATCCCTTGTATCTTCCAGATCTGTTAGATGGATACCATCCAAGAGATTCAGTAAATGCAGCGGCTCCTGTTCTGCTTTTTGTGAGGTTAAATGTCCTGTACGAATTTGCCAACCTCCTTCTGATTTGCAATCTTGCACATAATCCCTCTGTTCTAGAAAGAATACCGTCATAGCGTTTGAAATCTGTCCCCAAAAGACTGTCTTTTAGCGTAGGTCCCACCTGAGATTCCTTTCTCTGGCTCACCCCATCCCCTCCTTCGTCGTGCTCTCCATCCCTCTCTCCTCTGTTCCTCTGCTCTCTTCCTCTCCATCGGCAAATCCTTCCTCTTCTCCGCGGGCGACAGGATGGTGCCGGCGTGGAAGTGGCACTGCTTGAGGCTACGCTAGGGCGACGGAGATCCAGCCCTCCCTCTGCTCCTCCCACGCCTGTCGGGTCTCTCCCTTTCCCTCGCCACCGGAGAGGAGGCCGGGACGAGGGGGCGCAAAATCGATGGATCCGGCCAGGACGGAGCAGCGGCGGACGACCAGGTGGGTGGTGCCTCCATGGCGGCGTGCGATGCGAGCAGACCGGTGGTGTGGTTGCGGCCTCCCTAACGGCACTCGATGCGGAACAGAGCGGCGGCAAAGCGAGCATAGGTGCGGGCTGAGGCCTCCCTTGCGGCGCTCGAAGCAGAACGGAGCGGCAATGAAGTGAGTGCGGGCTCGGCTTGGCAAACTCCGGCGACCGCGTGGATCTGGATGTGAACGGGGAGGAGAGGAGGAGCGAGACACTATAGGGGTATATTTGTCTTTTACCTTGCTCCTTGGTTACCATGCCCATTCTAAAACGACTCTAATTTTAGAACGGAGGAAGTATATGTTTTGGTTTAGAACATGTGAAAACAAATTAGGGCACTGGAAAGCTAAGGGTTTTTTTTTTGTTAAGCCAGCTATCTAACCAAAAGGCGGTGTTGTTTCTTTTTCCCATTGTTACTATTGTCATAGCTATGTACATGTCTATAAATTGCATGAGTTGTCTCCAAGCCAGAGTGGTCTTGTTGATTTTGTCCCCTAACCTTTTCCCATTCGTATAAATTGAGTTTCGTATCCACATAGCCCATGGAGAGTCAGGCTGAGTGTGATGTTTATGGAGAATTTTTAGAAGAATGCTGATGTTTTGTTGTTCTAAGTTCTTTACTCCTAGCCCTCCTTGCTTTGGAGTACAAACGTTCACCAAAGCTATACCATTCGAGAACGTTGGAGCATCTTGCCGAACTCGATAAGGCTTCGGCGAGCTTAGAATTTTGAACAGTTTGTGCGCGCCACCATTTGGGTGAGATGCATATATGCAAAAAGAAAATTGCAGAACTAGATTCAATAATTTGGAAAGGCCTAGCTCTGAAATTTTCAAATGATTTGTTGATACAGTAGATTTGAATAATTGGAATTGTCAGTTGTCACAAGAGTTGGCTGATGAGCGTGACACGCACGAAATTAGCACTAGCAGAGAGCGGTCCGCTATCCTGAACTGGGCCTTGCCGGAACGTACCTAAAGCCCACCTGACGATGACCTAAGCTAACCCGACGATACCAAACACGTCCACGCCCGGCACCGTCCAAAACGTCCACCGAGGCCGTTAAGCGGCGACGTGGTCACACACACCACTGCGTGCCACCAACTCCATTGCTGGACTGAGATTAAAATATAAAAAAAAAAAACCTCCATTGATGGATTTGCAGAGTCAAAACAGAAATGGGGTGGAAGTGAGGTTAGTTGCAGCCCCTTTGTTAGCAAAACAACCGCTCACAACTGCTCATCTGTTGGATTACAGGAGTTGTCGTGTTTATGAATTTGGAACCTCTAGAACCATGAGTCCATGACTATGATGACTATGTCTGAGTAAACCGTGCAGGGTGACAGGAAATGGCAGATTGCTTGGTGAGACTTGAAAGATCGACTTATTTAGAGAGAGATACCCAAGCAGGAAGACCGATTAGTGCAGAAGCTGCTCATTGTCCTGTTTGCTAGACAGTTTCAGATACTTAATTATGTGGCTCAACGAGCAGGAAGGAAACCATTTAACTGAACTGAGCAAGCTTATCTAAAATCAAACGCCCTTTGGGTTCCCGAGTTCCTTGTTGGCTGTTGCAATCAGCAGGGGCGGATCGAGGGCCCGAGCTGCCGGGCTGCAGCCCGGGGCGAGTCCACGTAGCCCCTGTAACATATGTGGTATTTAGCCTAAAAAACTATGACCTTAATTAGACAAAAGGAAGCCTAGGAAGTAAGATCAAACTGTTTTGAACGTGAATCAGCAGCTCAGTCTGGGCAGCCCCGTTCTGGATCCGCCCCTGTCAGTCAGCAATGCCGCATGACATGATTTGCACCTGACGGCATGTACGCACCGAGTGCCGGTGGGTCAGGGTCAGGGACCTGAAACTGATGAGAGTGTCATCATCGCCGCGCGCGCGTGCAGGTGCAGCTGAGCGAAACTGTAAAGGGGCCGCCCCTGGAAGAACGAATGGCAGACAGCCATACAGCCCGCAGCTAACCACCATCCCATGAAGAGTCGTATTCCTATCCCCAATGCAAAAGCGGAGAGGGAGGATGATGATCGGGCGGGCGGGCGGTCACGAAAGCGACGGGGGACCAACCCGTGCGGCAACCAAGAGTGCTACGGACGAAACCGTAGCAGTGGTAGTTAGTTCCCAACCACCACTATTATGCATGCCCAAGTCCGTAGGTCGCCAACGCCCATCCATCCATGGTCGGTCCATATCGTAAAAACCGTTTGTGCTAACCACCGACCATCCTAATCAGAGCCCCCATCAGTTGCTAATCTCCGGGCAGGAACCCTTTTCTCTTTATCTGTGACAGCAGAGTCCCTTTTTTTCCCCAAACGAGACAGGGACCCAACGGTCCTACTCCTATAGTATACATGCGACATGGTGTCGGTGACTGAGCTTTCCATTGCCCTCACTCCTCCGTGCTCAGCTGTCAGTAAAGCAAATCCACTATCCGATTGGTGCCTGACTGAACGCGGGAGAAGGAAAGCCGATTCTTCTCTCTCTCTCAAACAAACGGCACTATCACCGGCTGCGTTTATCGCTGACCATTTCGTCACGACTGCTGCTAATCATGCCAGCCGGCTGGTGTGCGTGGGATTGGTTGAGTATCTAGTCGCTAATCCCAGCTGTCACCGAATATTCTATGATGGGCACATGAACAACAAGTAGCTCTATATATATTTTGCATAAGATATTCGGGAGAAGAGCAAAATCCAGTACTCCCTGTAGGCTCGCTGGAGGGCACAGCTGCGGCGGTTGATGTGTGACGAACGGGAAATCGGTTGCGTGAGCGTGACAGGGGGTTTTTGATTTCATCCTCCACCGAGATTTTCATCCTATTGAATGCGCCACCGCCCATGTGGCGCGCCTGGGGCTGGGAGTGAATCAATGGCCGGATGCAGGGAGGAGCAGCAAGGACGACGAAGCGAAGGATCAAGGAAGATACCCCAAATCGCGGACGTCGTTTGGTGGCCCGGCCAATTAACACGCAATAATTCTCCATCCCGTGCATTGCCAATTGCCATACAAGTAGCAGCTACTAGGCTAGCTCAAATGAGCTGAGGCAGCTGTAGAACGAACACCCACCCCAAATCACTAGAATTGAGGTAGAAGATTGATTGTTTTTTCACGGCTCACAAGATACACTCTACAAAATCGTAAGAGGGAGTAGAAGCAAATATCAGTGGAAACCCAAGTAGAATTATTTTTAAAAAAAATAAGTAGTTATGATCGGAAGATATGTTGCAAAATCATTGGGATTTAATACTAGTCTTGAACGGTTAACTTGTTGACCTCGAGAGGAAAGAAGGGAAAAAAGAAATAGTCCAAGAACTGTTCTTCTATTCTTCTGCCTGTTTCGAAATGCCTCGGTAATAGAAAAAACTCTAGTTTACCTCGCTTCCTCCGAGGCACGATCTGTGGCTGATGGCCGGCAGCGGCCCGGCACCAAGGCAAAATTGGCAGACACGCAAGCAGGGCAACTGGGCAAGGTATTACCGTGAGGAAAACAAATTGGCAGACACGCAAGCAGAAGAATTGCAACTTGCAACAGGCCAAGCAAAGGATCGCTACGCTAGCAGTATACTGTGAGAAAAACAAATAAAGAAACATGAAATCATGGAGCTGGTTGTTGCGACTCGGATCCGTGGCTACCTTAATTACAATCACAATCACACTGGTTCACAGGGAAATCATCAGTTTGCAGTGTATACACCAGTTGCTCACAGATCATTGAATTTAGAGGACCAGAGTGAGCGAGAGAGAGGCGAATCCGGCTGGAATCGCGTGGGCGCCAACCCATCATAACCCACAACCACCACCAATCATTCTCGTTAAAATCAAACGACAAGAGAAATATACTAACATACAGGTACTAATAATCGATTAAAGGGGCAGGGAGGGAGACGAACGAATTTTTTTGTTTTTCTGTCTCAATCAACAATCAACAACGGCGTGGGATTAACGGATATGAACCTCCTCTTCCTCTCGGTGGACGGCGGCGAGATCAGCCGCGGCAGCGCGTGATGGCGGAGCAGCCGCGCGAGTAGGGGTTGGCCTGCCCGCCGGGGCGGCAGTTGTAGTAGGAGGCGCCCCGGACGGAGCAGGGCACGTTGTCCCTGCGCAGCGCGCCGTAGCTGATGTAGCCGCCGCCCTGCAGCACCCGGCGCGCCACGGAGTCGAAGCCGAACTCCTCGTCCTCCCCCGCGCCCACCACGCCGAGGTCCCAGCCCAGGGACGCCGCCGGCACGTCGCCCGACGCGCGGGCCAGCGTCGCCATCAGCGCCAGGAGCAGGAGCAGGAGCGCGCGCGCCGGCCTCGCCATCGGCAGCGGCGGCGGTGAATGGGGATGGGGAAAGGAGGAGGGGAAAGGAGAGCAGAGGGGTGCTCTGCTTTTGCGCGTGTGGGGTTTGGTGCTCTGCTCTGCTGGCTGCGGCTATGGCGACGGGTGTTTCTCTCTGTCTTGGTTCCCTTCCCTTCCCTTCCCTTCCCGTGGCTGGGTTTATAGAGGAGAGAGAAAGGGGAGGAGGAGCGGGGAGGGGTGGAATGGAATGCGAATGCGCGTGACCTGCACGGCCGGTCGGCGCACCCTGCGTGTGCTGGTTTCCGTTACAGGAGGACGCGCCCGGACCGGCAGGTTTGGGTCACGCTTCACGGTGCATGGTGCACCCAACACCGGCTCACCGCTCACGCTTGGAGGCATGAGGAAGGGAAGGCCATGACCGTTGATGACAGTCGTGTTCGCTGGTCTGGTCCATCCAGACTAGCCGGCTGATCCCCTCAGCAAACACTATTCATCAACCAGCCACAATAGTATTTCTCTCTCGTAGAACCAGCCAGTTTCAGTCAAATTTTAGACCAGCTTCATTGCGCGGCCGAGTCTCATCTGCAGTTGCCATGGCCTTCCGTTAGCCGTCACTCTGCAATTAAAGACACTCATATACAAAATCAGAAGTTAAAGACACTGTTTGCGCAAAAAAGAAAGAAAGAAAGAAAGAAATTAAAGACACTCTCGTCCACTCCGTCGTGACCAGAAGAAGCTGAGAACCGCGTGCATCGTCGCCATTTCCGTCTATGGCGTTGGAGATCTGGAAAATGGAGGCAATTAGTTCTGCGCCGTACGGTGTCTCACATTAACAACGACAACGGCTACAGGTTACTACTACTGCTGTTGTGGTATGACATTATGGTATATGAGTAATAAGTGGCGGCTAGCTAGCTGGCACGCATGGCACCATGTGCCGCATCGACGACTTGCATTCAGAGGCGAAGTCAGCGCTCGTTTACTTCCAAAAAGTTTTTCAAAAAATAATACAGAGCTATCACATCGAATTTTACGATACATGCATGGAGCATTAAATATAGACGGAAAAAAAAACTAATTGCACAGTTTGGTGGAAAATCGCGAGACGAACGTTTTGAGCCTAATTAGTCCATGATTGAACATTAATTACCAAATAAAAACGAAAGTGCTACAGTAGTCAAATTCTCAAATTTTGCGGAACTAAACAATGCCTCAGTTCGCAAAATATACCTTCTTCCTGCCTTCCTGCTTCCTCTGGTCATGTACGCCAGCTGCGGATTCGGCCCGCGCCTACTCTGGTTGCTAAGGGCGTGTTTGCGACCAGACTGGCCGGCCCGGCCACCTAATCTGCCTGTGGTTGGGCAGGCTGCCCCAAGTGGTGCAATGACTCTTGTTTGTGTCTCAGGTACCAAGTGAGTCCGGCCAAAGGAGGTATGTGTTTGTCATCGAAGAGACAGCCGGACTGAGAGGCTAACCGCCACCAACTACCACACCGAGATAGTGTTTGTCATTTGGCTGTGGTCGGCCAGGCCCATAACAACAAATAAAAATAGACATGAATGAAAGGAGAATGAGGTTGTTCTTCCATAACCGTTACAACAACAAATCAAAGTTTCAGCATGAAATAGTTGGCCTCAGACATGCTAATTTAACAATTCATGGCATTACTGGCTACATGGGATAATCAAAGTTAGTAAAGAAGAACAGAAGCATGGGTCAGTCAAGTTTTGAAGCCAACAAACGAAAAAGTTCACAGAAACAGATAAGAGGTAGCAAAATGATATGTAGCCAGCTAATGCATCGATCTATTGTATCATCATTGGCCAAAATACAACATTTAACAGTTTGGCAAGCTGAGAAGGGCAACAAGTTAACAGAAAGCATGTAGCCAGCTAATGCAGTCACCCTATTGTGTCATCATCGGCCTAATTAAAACAACATTTGTGGCACATGAACAAATTTTGAGTGATGACCAACTACAACCATAAACAAGATCAAGATGACAACATTTTTGCAACAACCTTCTTTGCGGCCGTGTGAATGAGGATAGTTTCAGAACCTTGACCTGTCACCAGTTCATGGGATGCTGATGCATCCCCATGAGGGGCATGAATTGGTAACAGCTATGGATGTAAACGGTACGGATATTTATTCGACCGTCCGTTCGACCGAACAAATATGAACACTTATCTGGATAGTTACTCGGATATCCGTAATTTTTTTCGGATACGAATACTAAAATGAATATCTTAGGCGGATATCAAATACAGATATAATATCATCGATATCCGGCGGATATCGGATAATCCGGATAAGTATCGGATATATCCGGATATTTAAAAACGGATATTATCCGGATATTATTCAAACGATCTTGGATGGAGAAATGATCAAAATAAAAATTGTAGATCTCAAAAAGTTATGAAACTCTGTTGTTTACAACTTTTTCGTTTGAAATCATTTAGTGCTTCAAAATTTAAACCGTCCAAACTTTCTCAAATGGAAAACTAGTTTATAGGCGTCAAAATTTAAAAATCACAAATTTGAACCATCCAAACTATCTCAAATGGAAAGTTGACCAAAACAACAATTGTAGATCTTGATGAGTTGAACAAACTTGGTATTCAAAACTTTTCAATTTGAAGTCATTTAGAGTTCATAATACTAGAGTCAAAGTGTTGTTTTTTCATTTGACCAAATTGGACTTGGTCAAACTTGCTCAAATGAGACACTAAATGACCTCAGATAAAAAAACTCTGAATACCAAGTTTGATCATCTCAGCAAGATCTACAATTGTTACATAGCTCATTTTCCCATTTGAGAAAGTTTTATCAAACACTAGTCACAAATTCTTAAATCTCATATAGACTTTCTGAAACTATGTCACACACTTGTGAAATTTGAACTATATTTTGTTCAAACTTTCTCAAATGAAAAAATGGCCTATATAATGATTGTAGATCTTGATGAGATGAACAAACTTGGTATTCAAAACTTTTCAATTTGAGACAATCTAGGGTTCCGAAAACTAGTTTGTAAACGTTGAAATTTAAAAATCATAAATTTGAACCGTCCAAACTATCTCAAATGGAAAGTTGACCAAAACAAGAATTGTAGATCTTGATGAGTTGAACAAACTTGGTATTCAAAATTTTTCAATTTAAAGTCATTTAGAGTTCATAATACTAGAGTCAAAGTGTTGTTTTTTCATTTGACCAAATTTGACTTGGTCAAACTTGCTCAAATGAGACACTAAATGACCTCAGATAAAAAAACTCTGAATACCAAGTTTGATCATCTCAGCAAGATATACAATTGTTGTATAGCTCATTTTCCCATTTGAGAAAGTTTTATCAAACACTAGTCACAAATTCTTAAATCTCATAGACTTTCTGAAACTATGTCACACTTGTGAAATTTGAACTACATTTTATTCAAACTTTCTCAAATGAAAAAATAGCCTATATAAGGATTGTAGATCTTGATGAGCTGAACAAACTTGGTATTCAAAACTTTTCAATTTGAGACAATCTAGGGTTCCGAAAACTAGTTTGTAAGCATCGAAATTTAAAAATCACAAATTTGAACCGTCCAAACTATCTCAAATGGAAAGTTGACCAAAATAAGAATTGTAGATCTTGATGAGTTGAACAAACTTGGTATTCAAAACTTTTCAATTTGAAGTCATTTAGAGTTCATAATACTAGAGTCAAAGTGTTGTTTTTTCATTTGACCAAATTTGACTTGGTCAAACTTGCTCAAATGAGACACTAAATGACCTCAGATGAAAAAACTCTGAATACCAAGTTTGATCATCTCAGCAAGATCTACAATTGTTACATAGCTCATTTTCCTATTTGAGAAAGTTTTATCAAACACTAGTCACAAATTCTTGAATCTCATAGACTTTCTAAAACTATGTCACACACTTGTGAAATTTGAACTACATTTTGTTCAAACTTTCTCAAATGAAAAAATGGCCTATATAAGGATTGTAGATCTTGAATCCATGACCATGACTCCATGAGCCCCATGAAGCCATGAGCTTGGCTATTTCTACTCATGCCGCGAAGATTGGTGCTTGTATGATGTTTGATGTATGATGTATCTGTATCTTTATCTTATTTATTGCTTTACTCTTTAGTCTTTCGGCTTAATCTAGATGGATTATGGCCTATATATATATGCTGCTTTTACTCAATATCCGAATAGATATTTGTATCCGACCTTCTCCGAATTCGATTCATACCGTATTCGATACTCATTATTCGTATCCGTAACCGAGTCAATCCGTATTCGTATATGTATCCGAACGCTATCCGTGTCCGAATCCGAATCCGAACAGAAATATGAAAACAAATATAATATGAGTGATATCCGTTCGTATCCGATCCGTTTTCATCCCTAGTAACAGCAAGGGTTCTTGAGGTACCCTTGCATTAAAATCTCTAAGAGCATCATCATAGTTGTTGTACTTCTGATAGATAGCCCCTTCTTCTCTAAGCACTTGCTTAGCACACTCATACCATGTAAAATAAATCCCAGGTTTCTTCCCTTCAAAGACCACATAGCAGGGAGGCATTCTCTAAAACCAACCAAATGTAGAACATGTAAGTGGTCCGAATGACATGCCTCAGTCGACCATTCAGTTTGAATGATGGTGAACATCATCGGCAACTTGATAAAAAAATTAGCCTCAGCTGTTATTTTCCTTGTTTAGTCATTGGTGACTACCAAGAATTGTAAGAACCGAATAAAGAGGCAAATAAACAACAATTGCACTCACTGCCATCAGCCATCACAAGAGTATGTTGTTGCTGTGGAGTACAACTGAGCATAAGTGTAGAATGGAAGGATAGGCAAATAAATAAGAAAGCACAACAACAAAACCATCAAAACAAGAATAAGGTAGCCACCTCAAGTTTGTTTTATGCATCATAGGCCTTTAAATCCCACAGTTACCACCAGAGGCATAAACAATAAAAATAGGCAACTAGTTATCAAATAAAAAGTAGCCAACAGAGGCTACAGATAAGTTTCTTACAATACCAAGTTGAGCCCAACAGCCAAGGGCTCAAATGTTCCCAACTCCTTGCCTATTGTTAGCCACCCTCCTAGGCAAACTACACCATCAAGGTCGGTGTCAAAAGAACAAGCAGATCGCACAAAAGGTCATGTTGTCAAAAGAAGAGAGAGGGGAGAGGGGGTGGAGGAACTATACATCTCTACAACCAACCCCTCCGGCCTTCTAGCCCTTCATGTGTAGTGGAACTACACATAGTAGTTTTTGGCCAGGAAGGTCCTAAGCCAAAGGGCCCTATGGGCATCACTCATGTTCACAAAGTCCCTGCCTTGGGCCTTGTTGTCCAGGAGGAAGGTGTAGGCAACAATAAGTGCCTCCTCACTGAAGTCAGGCATCTCCATCACAGCAAGGTACAGATTGGCATCAACATGGGCAGGTCCAGTCTCCCTAAGAGCATTGGCCACATTGTTCACAGCATCTGACATGTTAGTCAACATGAGCATCTCCTCCTCAGAGAAGTTCCCTCTCTTCCTCTTTGGGCCAGCAGCTGAGGAGGTAGGAAGCAGTTCAGTGGCCTTGCTATCCCCTCCCTGTTCACTGGGAACTGTGGTGTGGGTCTGTTCCTTGGTCCATACTCAGACAAATGGTACCTAACCCCCCTGTAGGGAGGTAGGAAACCATTTTTGCATGCATACCCAACATCTACCAAGAACATTTTACCTACACAAGACATCTACTGTGAGAGTGTGTGTCAGCCAGCCAGGACATAAGTGAATTTCAGATCATAATTCACAGCTACCATCACATTTTGGGTGGGATCCTTTTTCCTACCCCTAAAAGCTTGTTGCATGCGCCTAGGAACCCTTGATAGGAAATGAGTGCCATCTATAAAGCCAATGACATCCTAAAAAGCATGGATCAGTCATTGCAACAGGTCTAATGTAACTAATGAACCCAGGGTATACAATAACCTTAAAATATGGATTCCATGTATGGCTTACAAGAATCTTTGGGTGAGTGGTAAAGAATGGCTTTATCATTTCATTCCTAAGCTCACCCATAGCATACAACACCTGATGGAAGTGCTTGTGGACAGTTTGGATGGACCTCCTAAAGGACTGGTGGACAACCCTAAATCTTTGGTTGTGCCCTACAACATGTAAAAAAACATGGCAACCTGCTCTTCTCATCGACACCCCCTCCCTATCGGTGACAAGACTCTCTCTCTAAAAGTTCTCACTAACTTAAAAAAGCAACTCTCTTCATCCTAATCATAGAAATACACTCGAATCGGTGAAATTGTATATCATTCTCAGTGTTCTCTCGTCTGTCTTTGTTCATTTTCATCCCTAAGGCCGATGCTATAGGATCAGCAAAGGGGTTTTAGGTTCGGGGGTTTTCCTTTTCAGCCTAGTGGATACAAAGGTAACCATAACAACAATCAAGACAAATTGCCTTCCTACACAAAGATGTCACGGCTCAAAGATGATCCATCTACAAGCATGTAAAAATGTAACATGATTTCAAAGCTTAATATACCTCGCTAGGCATCAACATGAATGTGAAATGAATGCATGCCAACAAAAGCACTAATGCATCTTGTATGTGATGCCTCCCAAGACTATGTGGACAACATCATCGACCAATGATGGAACAAAAAACTCAGAGCAATAGTAATCGAAGCAGATCAACATCCCTAACAGATCAAGAAACGAGAAGGTACAAGTAACACTAACAACCCTGCATCAAAGCAGTTATGAACAAAGAAGGTACAATACAAATCAAACAGATCAACAACCCTAACAGATCACGAGCCCAACAGATCAAGAACAAAGAAGGTACAAGTATCCCTAATAAGAGCATGAAGCGGTTATAACAAGTATGAAACCCTAACGGATCATGAACAACAATGAACAAGAAACCCTAATGAGTTCAAGAAGCACCACAAAAAAGAAGATTGGGGTCGATTTCACCTTGGCTCGGGGTCCAAACAACGGAGAGGAGGCAGATCTGGAAGTAGAGGATGCAGATCGGGAAAAAGACGAAGCAGATCAAGCGGACGGAGAAGAAGAGGAACACACCGCCACTTGAGTCCCAAAGAAGCACCAAGCGGGACGGGCGGCGAAGAAACTGCGCGCCGGTGACCTAACCCACAACAACCATGTGGAGGTCGCCGCCGCCGCCACGCACCACAACTCACCGCCGGTCTCTCACGAGGGAGGTGGAAGAGCAAGCACCGAGTGGAAGAAGGAGAGAGTGGAGAGTGGGAATCAGTATATAAAGACCAGTGAAATCGCGCCGCCATTTCGCCATGGCTGTGCCAGAGGGAGCGAGAGAGCGGGGACACGCTACAAGACGCTTCCCTTCCCGCCTAAAGCCCGCGTGAGCCACACCCCGCCGCCTAAAATTGCTCAAGCGTCGTCGCATGACGAGCTCGGCTCAAGAAACGAGGGTTTCGGTCGTTTCCAGAGAGCCAGGCGGAGAGGTCGAGTGTTGCTCTGCGAAGCCAGGCTCGCTTGCGGGCCATCGACCACAAACATGGCAACTTGCAGCCCACGGGCGCAGCCGGGCCTCCGGGCCAGGGTCGCAAACGCGCCCTAAACCTTTGTTTTCACTTGTCCTCTGACAATCGAATTCTCTCCATTGAGCGTCTTCAACTAAGAAAATTGAAAATTGAAAACCAAAGGTGGCAATCCATTATCACTATCAGTTACTACAACCTATAGTGATACTAGCAACAAAATATTGTTGTGACTACGAGCGATAAAAACATTAGCAATAAAGAACAAGCCACATCTAACTCCAAATAGGGCAAAAATAAATAGGTTCTATTTTAAAATAATTTTGGTACTTGTTTCATATATTTATATTCAAAATGAATTACGTTACTGATTTTTAGAGATTTATTCATATTTTTATTATTTTTTAGAAAATATATAAGTAGGTGAAACGGCCTTTGGAACCAGCTGAGGGTTCGGTTTTATTAATTTGATGTTTAATGTATTCGGTTTTGAAGTTTGATGGCTAAGAATTTAGATGATAGCTTATTGGTAAAAAAAATAGATTATTTCTGTTGTGCTACCTCTGGTTAATAAAACAGACGTTTTCAGACCTGTGGGAAGCAGTTTATTTTGATTGTTTTGCTTGTCTGAAACATCAAAATTCGCTGACCGAAGGTAGTATGTATGTAGAAGTAGAGCATCGTTATTATTTCTAGTAGAATATTACGCAGTTGTTGGTATACATCCGTATTCATCGGGTCCGAACGGTCGGACCCAATCCTCCCGCCGAATAGACGCGCGGGGAAACTGTGGCGCGCGGGAATCAGCGTCTAGGTACATTAGTTTCCCTTTTGTTTTTTTTATTTTTTCCTTATTCTTCTCATTCCCTTCTTTTTCTTTTTCTTTTTCTTTTTCTTTTTTATTTTCTTTTCTCTTTTTCTTTTTTATTTTCGTGCTTCATTTTTATTTATATTTCTTTTTTTGTTTTAAGTGTTGTTATTATTCTTTTCATTCATCATTTTTATGTTTCTTTTTATTTTCTTTCCTTTTCTTATTTATTTTTTATTTCTTATTTATTTTTACTATAATTAATTATTTTATTTATTTCATTTTATTTTTTGTATTTCTTTCTTCTTCTTTTTTTCTTTTGTCTTTATGTTCTCTATGGATTTTTTATTTTTTTCTATTTTATCTTACTTAATTATTTTTCCATGCTTAATTTTTTATTTTCTATATTCCATGAGATGCTATTCACATGGTATAGATGTGATGTTCTATGATATTTTTTGCGTTGTTCACAACGTATATAATGCCATATTTTATGATATTTTTTTGTGATGTTCATGTAGTATACATGTGATGTTCTATGATTTTTTTGTGATGCTCACGTGTTATTCGTGATTCTCTATGATGTTTTTTGTGATGTTCACGTGGTATACATTTGATGTTCTATGATGTATACATGTGATGTTCGCGTAGTATACATGTGATGTTCATGTAATATACAATAACGTTTTATGATGTATTATCTGATGTTCACGTAGTATAAATGTGATGTTGTATGATTTTTTTATTCTATTTCAATTCTTTTATTTTTCACGTTTGCTTTTTTATCTTTCCTACATTCTGTTGTATATGGTACACACATGATGTTCATGTAGTATAAATATGATGTCCTACGATGTATTTTTAGGATGTTCATATAGTGTAAATGGGATATTGTATGATTATCTTTGAGTATTCACACAGTACCCGAGACATATTCTATAATATATTTTCACACTAAAAATTGATTCAATTATAGCTTTCTATCAAGTCAATATATCTCAATTTTAACGCATGCATGAAAATATTATTATTTATAACACTTATTAACTGTACTTAGATTCATCGTGAAAGATATTTCCGTAGCATATCCACGTAGAGTCATAAATAAATGTTAATAATATTCTTCATAAATTTACTGAAGCTGGAGAAATTTGACTCGGTCTAAATCCAGAACTACATCTGCACGGAGGTAGTAATAACTTATATTATTGTTGTACAGAATAGAATGGAATATGTATTTCCTAAATATTTTTTTTGTTCGTTGAGCAAAGACTAGCTTGCGACGTCGTTGCAGTTGCACCAAACTAATAATTATGCTCCATCATTCAGCTCCGCGTAATTTTTCCGTATGGGCGCGCGGCGGCCGGCGGTGCAAACGATACGCGGCTCGGCGGCTGGAGTAGGTTAGGTATTAATAGGTAGGACACTCATCTTCTCACTCCTACATGCCACTGGGCTGGCCACCCAATCCATCTAGTACATCTATGGGCGCGTTTAGTTCCGGCCAAAGTTGGCGCCGTCGGATTTTTTAGCCATAGCGCACTGTAGTATTTCGTTTGTATTTAATAATAATTGTTTAAACATTGACTAATTAGACTCAAAATGTTCGTCTCGCAAAGTACAATCAAACTGTGCAATTAGTTTTTGATGTCGTCTACATTTAGTACTTCATGCATATACCGCAAGTTTGATGTGACGAAGAATCTTTTTTTTTGCGTAGTGTCAAATTCAGGAAATTGGGGAAACTAAACACGGCTTGTTTGATTTCATTTCCATGGATGTAACAGTACGTACGCGCACGTTATAATCAGTTGCGTATGCACTCCTAGTCGCGGTCCGCGTATTGATGATGATGATAAAAATGGCGGCATAAAAAAGTTGGTGCGGCGACGGAAGCTGGGAGCGAGTTGCATTGGCGACCGTCCGCGGCTGCGGTTTGCACTCCAAGCTGGAACCCAACCCCGGCAAAAGTCAAAACCTAACGTCCTTGTCGCGTTGGGCGCTTCCGATCGAGTTGGTCCGCGTACTAGTACGTCCCAACTCCGAGCCGTCGGCTTCCCACAGCTTAGCTGTGTTCCATTCCATGAGTTTGTAACGTCCTCTTGGTCAGTCGCTAATAAACGCAACTGCTCAAAAAAACAATTCTCTGCCTTCAG